CCATTGGTGGCTGCGGCGACACGGCGGCACAGCAGCCGGCCAGGCGGGGGGCAACCCGCCACGCCACGAGGCGGAGAACGACGCCGATGAGGAGAACGCTGAGGGGATGGAGGCGGTGAAGGCGGGCACCCTGACGTCACAGCGGCCACGGGCGGTGGCCACTGATCACTCGTATTGGCGGACTCCGGTGACGTGCTCCACGTACACGTCCCGGGACCACCGCAGGGTGTCGCTCACCATGAGCTTGCGCACCAGTCGGGCGTACACCCGGCTGACACGCAGGTGGCGCAGCGTCTCCTCGTTGCCGCGGTACCAGGTGCCGAGCGAGCCAATCACCAGGGCATGCACGGAGGCATCATTGCCCTGGCGTCGGAGCTCGGCCACCAGGCCCGCTTATTTCGCAAATTTCGCAACGGCAACCGCCAACTCCTATGTTGAATCGGGAACGTGGGAACCCGATCAAAATATGCGAAGGCAGAAGACCGGAAGTAGGCGCGAAAAACTTACCTCGCGCTCCTGTGGTCCATCGGCGTCCACCCGGCGCGGCGCCCCCGGCGTCCACCCGGCGCGGCGTCCCCCGGGCCCGGCGTCCACCCGGCGCGGCGTCCCCGGCGTCCACCCGGCGCGGCGTCCCCGGCGTCCACCCGGCGCGGCGTCCCCGGCGTCCACCCAGCGCGGCGTCCCCGGCGTCCACCCGGCGCGGCGTCCCCGGCGTCCACCCGGCGCGGCGTCCCCGGCGTCCACCCGGCGCGGCGTCCCCGGCGGCGTCCACCTGGTGCGGCGGTCCACTCGGTGCGGCGCCCACGCGGTGCGGCGTCCACTTCGGTGCGGCGTCCGCGCAGGCGACGGTGGATGATCGCGGCGCGGCGTCCCAGAGCACGCAAGCACAACGCGGCGTAATGGAATAGCGCGCGTAAACCGCGAAAAAACCCGCGAACGAAGAGTCGCGCGATAAAAGGTCACCACAATGCGCGGAAGTTCCAGGCCATTGGCTAAGATGGACAGATGAGATCGCTTCTAGGCCTCTTAGCTCAGATCAAAGTGTAGCATCTGTTCTTATCATCTTAATTTTGATCTTAGTCAAAGGTTATTTCGGGTTGAAATTGCGTATTTCCCCATCCCCGCGGCTTACACTTCCAGGTGGTGACGCCTGGCGGCCAGCAGCTCAACTACTCAAGGTCAGCGACGACGGAAACTACGAGCCAGTCGTCGGACGGGTCGCGGGTGAGCACAGGACGAGAGGTAAGTGCACGTGCCGACTTCCGGCCTTCCGCCCTTCCCCTGTTTAGGTCGGGAGCCCCGTGTTCCTGCCCTAAATAGGAGTTGGCGGCTGCCGTGGTTTTGGCGCGAACACTTCTCGCGCTTTCCGTGCTTCGCCGGCGGCCCGCTAGTCGGCGCCTCATCCCGTCCGAGAGATGGCGTTGCCCGTCACAAGTCAGCCCAGCCGCCCGGCGTCTCCCGTCCCGGGGCGGCAGCCGGAGCTGGACGGTAGGGTTGACCAACACGCCGTGGGTCGGCGCCGGGTGCCGGCAACAACTCACCGCGCGGCCTTCCCGGCATCGCTGCACGTTGCCGGTCCGGGCCCGGCGGGCGGCCGGCGGCGAACTGCCGCACGTCTGTCCGTGGTGCCGGGCCACCTTCACGACGCGGCGCGGGCTGCTCAACCACCGAGCCCGCTGCCCGCGTCTGCCCGACACCGAGCCGGCCCGGACCGTCGACCTCGGGCTGCAGCCAGCCGGGACCCCACCGGGGGCGTCTCCGCAGCGGCCACCTGCTGCCGCCGGCTCGCCCCCGGACTCACCGCAGTCTTGGCTCGGCGAGCGACTCGAGCGAGTCGCCGGCCTCCTCACCGGCCGGCGGCCGCCGTCAGCGACGCCGGAGCCGCCACCAGCGGGGACACCACGCCGCCCATCACCGCTGGCCCGGCTGGGCAACGCCCTTCAACGAGCCGGCCTCCACCTGGCAGGTCCGCCCGCCGCGGAGGGCCTCACCGACGACGCCAGACGCCACATCACCTGCCCCGTCGCCGGTGAGTGCCCCAGTGCTCCCTGCGCGCGCCGGGCGGCCGGCCCGAGCCGGCCGTCCCTTCCCACACCGCCTACTACACTTTGATATTAGTCAAAAGGCCGAGAAGCGATGCAGAAGCATTTTCATTTTCATTTTTCATTTATTTGTTTGAGGCGTTTCGGCCTGTTCAGACCATTTCACGCCTGGATGATGTTATTTTAAATTGGTGTAATTATGTATGTGAAGAAAAGTGTACGTTTATTGACATTTACAAAGCTTGAAGCAAACCGGCAAGTCTGAGGAAGTTAAAGACAATGTTAAGCAGTTCAGGATGGTCATCGCCAAGGACGTTTCTTAAAGAAAACTCGATATTTTGATTACGACAAAAAGCCTGTATATCGTTGCGGTGCAGTTGATATTTTGTGCACTCAATAACAATATGTTTAACCGAAAGTGAATGATCGCACGGCTGACAGTGAGGACGAGGTTGACTTAAGTATATGTAACTATGTGTGGATGTAGTGTGTCCGATTCGTAAACGGGCAGGACCTTCTCCTCCAGACGGTCTTTACGATGCGTTGATGGCCAAGGGGTAATGTCTGGTTTGATATCATGAAGTTGTTTTCGGGTAGCATCGGTCAATTGTTGTTGCCAAAAATGTTTTGTCATTGTCCGAATGGAATGTTTTGTAGATGCATGATCAGCAGGGATAACCATGATGTGCTGGTTTGTCAAAGCTTCCTTGGCTAGTTGGTCAGCCCGTTCATTGCCCATGATGCCTGTATGTCCTGGAATCCATAGAAATTTGATCTTCATATCCTGTGTATGTAACGTATGATAGAGATTGCCGATCTTAACAAGGAGGTGGTGTGTGAAGTCTGGGTCCATAAGAGATTGCACAGCTGTCTTTGAATCCGAACAAATCACTATTGTCTTCGTTTTCTGGGTGTGTTGTTGAATGTGTTGCAATGCAAGGAAAAGAGCAAATAATTCAGCCAAGTATACTGAGGTGCCATCCGGTAACCAACAGTTTTAATGGTAATGTTCAGTGGAAATAACTGCACATCCGGTGTGGTTATTGGCCTTGGAGCCATCGGTGTAAATAAAGCTGCTATTTTGATTGTTGACAATTAGACGATTAAATGTTTGTTGAACATAACTTGTTGTGAAAATGTGTTTGGGATCATCAAAAAGAAACAAAACTTTCCGAGGGGCTAACTGCCATGGTGGTACTATTAAAGCAGGTGGCATGGAAGAAGGCGGTAAAGTAAACTGAAGAGTGGTACAGTAGATAGTGGTTCGAGATGCTATTGTATGTCCTGAGCGACGTTCTGTCGGTCCTACGTAGTTATGGTGCATGTGAGGTAAGACATGCATGGATTTAAATGCTGGGTGACTGGGATTTTGTCGCACTTTTGTGATGTATCTCAATGTGTGTTCCATTCGTCGGAGGGCAAGAGGCATAACATGAGGGTCCACTTCAAGCGCTGAAATCGGGGAAGTACGCAGAGCTCCTTGGGCAACTCGCAAAAACATATTTTGTTTGGTGGATTGTGGTTTGAGAGTGTGTTGGCTGCCTCCTGCATATACCACGGAGCCATATTCAATGATGGGAAGAACTAAGGATTTGTATAGACGTAATAACGATTGGCGGTCGGCACCGTATGTTGACCCGGAAATGCATCTAAAGAAATTTAGTCTTTTTAGGCATTTGGAGCGAACATGCTCCAGGTGCTGCCGCATCGATAATCTGGGGTCAAGTACGATGCCAAGAAATTTGAAAGAAGAAACGAAAGGAATGTGGTGTCTATCTAGTCGAAGCCGAAATTTGGGAGTACCACGCATATTTTTGCCGAAAATCATAACTGCAGATGTGGGAGCGGAGAAGCGGAACCTGTATCGCTCTGACCACTGCTGCACCTTGTTTAGGGCGGCTTGGAGCCGTGGCAGCGAATGGTCATATTCAGCGTCTGAGCACCAGATGGCGCTATCATCCGCAAAAAGTGAAGAGGAAGTACCCGATGGTAATGAGTCAAATAAATCGTTTATCACAAAATTAAAAAGAATCGGTGAGATACAGCTCCCTTATGGGAGGCCGTTCTCTAGATGGTGAGTGTCGGAAACGGCGGATCTGCATCCCACGATCTGCACGATCTGCACGAAACGGCGGATCTGCACGAAATGGTCTGATGCCGGAAAGAAACCCAATAAGATAATGTGCCAAATGGCCTTTAAACCCTAACTGATGGAGCTTGAAAATTAGTGCAGGTTTAAAGACCATGTCGTAGGTTCGGCTAATATCCAGGAATACAGCAGTTGTGTCGTGTCGATGTTTAAATGAACGTCTGATGTCAGTTTCAAGTCTGATGACATGGTCTGTTGTGCTACGATTGTGTCGGAGACCACATTGATTTTTTGTAAGCAGGCAGTCTCGTTCTACAATCCAAGAGATTCGCTTCGCAACCATCCGCTCAAAAAGTTTTCCTAGACAGCTGGTATGTGCAATGGGACGATAATTTGATGGATGTTTGGTGTCTTTTCCTGGCTTTGCAAGTGGAATAATGATGGTGTCTTTCCAGGCGTCTTTATTATAGTCTTCGGTGTTATCGGAAACAAAACAATCAGTATGTAAACGAAAACGGGCTTGCGCAGTTTCCACAAATCCTAGTCGGTAATTTCCGGATGAACTACACTGAGAAAGAATTTCAGCAAGAGCATTGGTGATAAGAGGTGTTGCCGAAATGATTTGGTTATTAATGCGTAAAGTGGGCAATGAACTCGAACCAGTCCCCATAGTTGGCTTAGGGGAGCAGCAGCAGTGAGCTGTTGGATGTGTGCTTGCCAAAAATGGCGTTCGACACTCCTTATAATTCGTCTGGTTCGAGCACGCTCATAATTTCGGGGAAGAGGATGAAGTACATCATGGTGGCGACGAAAGCAGTGGAAAGCACGTTTCCGACGTACAATAGCATTCTTAACTTCGGTCGTCCACCATGGTACTGGAATGCGGCGTGGTGGAGTTTTGGTCAGTGGAATTGTCGCGGTCGCTGCAGCATGAATAATATGTGTAATAAGGTCAACACCCTGCTCTGGTGATTCATAACAGTCTCGGTTCACATAACAAAGTTCTTGATATTTGGCCCAGTCTGCTTTTCGTAAATTCCAGCGGGGTGTGAATTTAGAAACTTCGTCAGCAGTTGGATCAAAAGTGGTGTAAAGTTTAGCTGAAAAATGGTCGCTGTCGTGTATATCTCCCTCAACAGTCAAATCAAAGTGTGTCGCTAATGAGGGGAGCACAGCGACAGGTCGATGGTGGTTTCTGTATCAGTGGGTAAGTGGTGGTAAGTGTTATTTTCTTTGTTTAACAGGACTGAAGTTGTGTGTATCAATAAAATCTTCAACCAAATGTCCTCGGCGATTAACGGCTTGGGTGCCGTTACTCCACGCTGGACTGTGAGCGTTGAGATCGCCGAGGATGAGAAAAGGGTTTTGAAATTGAGCAACGAGTTGGTCAAGTTGCCGTAAGAGCTCCGTATTATTATAATTTGGTGTAGTGTATATTGAGCATATATCGATGGTACGACCATGCAGTCGAACTGAACATGCAACAGCCTGAAGAGGTGTGTTAAGAGTGAGTGGCGTGTGTGTTAACTTTGACTGATGTACAGCACCACCCCACCTTGGCGACGCTTACCGTCCATCGCGTCACATCGATATAACGGGTAATTTGGCATTTTAAGGTTATATGTGTCGGTGGGACGAAACCATGTTTCCTGTACGGCAATGATGATTGGAGTTAGTACGGCAAAAAGTGCTTTCATTTCGGACCATTTTGAAATGAGACCGCGACAATTCCACTGTAAGATGAAAGGCATTTAGTGATAAAGGGATCCATTCCCACCGGTTGGTGGGAATCGCCCGAACGAAACAGATCTAGGCCATCCCATCGCCACCCTCACCGGTGGACGGGACCGGCGGTCTTCGTTCGTGCGTGTTTCGACAGGTGTTGTGGTGGGGGAAGGGGAGGTGATGTTTGTGTGGTAGCCAGAGGGTCCGGGCCGCCGACTGTTCATAGCCGGGGGGCTAGAACGCCGGACGGCCTGACCCACACGTGAATCACTCACAGCCGGCGGGCTGGAACGCCGGCCGACCTGGGGGCGGGGGTGCACGGGCGCCTGGGCATCCGAACGTCCAGCCAGGGGCGACTCAACGGCATTTTTCGTCTGGGTCTGTGTAGTTGACTCAACTGAAACCGAGGGGCGAAGGTTGAGAAGTTTCAGGGGAGGCAGATGGGTGATAGGGTCGGTCTGTGTTGCACATGTGGCCATCGTGGCTTTTGCTACTTGTACATATGTTTTGCTGGACTGCGACGACATTTTAGATTCAACGGTGCGCCGTGCTTCGGGGTACGACACACCTGTCTTTGCCTTTTCAGAACAAATTTCTTTTTCTTTTTTCCACGTGGGACACTGAGAAGAGTTGGCGGCGTGATAAGCACTTCCACAGCTCAGGCATTTCTGGGGTGATGTGCAGGCAGATCCCTCGTGAGGAGTCTCGCCGCACTTCAAGCATCTGGCACTCTGTTTGCAGTACTTGCTGCCGTGTCCGAACCGTTGACATTTAAAACACCTGAGTGGATTTGGAATGAATACTCTTACTTTATAACGAAGGTAACCAGCGGTGAGCGAATCTGGAAGTCGGGTGGTACCAAAGGTGATAACAAGCAGGCTGGTGTCGTGACGCTGACCATCTCTGAAAGTCGTCAGCCGACGGACATGGCAAACTTGCTCATCTCTGAGCTCCGCTAGGATCTCGTCCTCCGTCATGAAGCGGGAGTTCAGGCGCGAAGATGGTGCCCTCACTGGTGTTTCTGGCATGGTGCAGGGAGACTTTTACTTGTTTGCCGCAAAATTCAGCTGTTTTGAGTAGGGCCTTGGTTTGTGCGCGAGTTGTTGTTTCAATGATGAGTGATCCGTTTGCTGGTGCTTCAATTTTGAGTTCGCATGGAACGCAGATAGCTTTGATTTGCTTTGATGGCCAAAAACGTTGATCTTTCGAAACGACACATCTTCATCACAAGGTTGGACGACAACGTACGATCCGAGAGGATCCAGAATTGGCTCAGAAGGCAGGCGAACACTGGTCATTGTCGAGAGAGGGTCAGCATCAGGGCGAGCAGGCACCGGAGTGGTCAAGGACGAGCGAGGGTCGGAACCGGGGGCGTTGACGGAGACGGAATCTGCTGTCCACCCACCGCGGTGGAAGTGTGCGTACCAACGGTCATAGCCTGGGGCGCGTGAGGGTCATCAGATGAAGTGGCAGCCAAAGCGGGGCTGGCGCCACTTCCGTCGTCTACATCCAGGGCATTATCAAGGTCAGAGGCCGAGTTCGAGTCCGTTTCAGTATCATCCTTCTTGCGCTTGCTTCGCTTCCCCATATTAGGGGAGCGAGAAGGAAACAACAAAAACTAAGCGGAAAGGTGTGTTTGGAGCTAGTACGAGCGGAAAAAGCGACGAGAACGACGATGCGAAAAAAGGACTCCTTGGCTGAGAGCCGCAAAAGGAGCAAGCCACTTGCTGGGGTCGTGCCAGACGGGTGTGTGGCCGCCGAATGGGTCGACGAGAGCTTGTGTCGCGGCCTGCAGAAGCAGCTGCAACACGTGCATTTATAGCGCGCCGGCCGCTGCCGGTCTGCATGGCCGGCGCGCACGCGCCTGGCTCCGTGCGCCGGGTCGACGAGCGACTAGCGAACGACGGCGAGCAGTGCTCATCCCGCCGCGCATTGGCACCAGCTCAGCTGACACCTTGCAGGGCATCTTATTGCCACTTGAGCCGCGTGCGCCTTCTCGGCCGGCCGACGGCCGATGCCATGTCACCAACAGCGCGTGCCGTCAGGCCGGCAACATGCAATGCCAACGCATCACATGGTTGTACAAGCCAACGCCACATATACCAAACGCCTGACAATGACCATGGCCGCCGGCTGTGCATAACAACTTTGCGCACCCCACGGCTAGATGGCTCTGTCGGGCGCGTGGCATTCACACATCGCCTGCGGGCCGGCCAATGGTCGGCTGTCTGCCCTGCTCCAGCGCACGGGCCCGGCAGCCGGAGGCCGTGCGCCCTCGCCGGCCTGGCGGCATTGCTCGGCTGCATGGGCGTCTTCGCCTCCGAAGCGCGGCCGCGCTCTACCACGTGACGCGGCGCGACGCCGCACACAACTTGCAACAAGTCGACAGCACAGCCCGTCAACTGCACGGGGACGCGCCACCAGCGCCAGGCCCGCGACGGCCAAGCCGACTGCTCATTCGGCGCCCGGCGCGACAGCCATCTAGCGGCCGTGCTGGCACTAGCGGCCGCCGGACCGTTTTCGACCGTAGCGACGCGCGTGCCGGCGTCAGTTGCGTGTCCACAGACGCGGTGCGAGCGCGTGTTCTGCCTCTCGCCGACGCTGGGCACCTATTGATAGTGACGGTGTGCTGTCACGTGAACGGTGTATGGTCACGTGATCGGCGATTGCCAGTCGGGTGATGTGATGAACAGCGCACAGGCCACCGCTCCAAGGGCGCGAACCGTCGGCGACCTCCTGTCGCGCGCCAGTGTTCCGACGCAACCGCGCGCGCGTCTCGACCAACGGAGAAGGCGCGCACGACTCAAGTGACAGCAAGATGCCCTGCAAAGTGTCATCTGAGTTGGTGCCAATGCGCGGCGGGGTGAGCACTGCTCGCCGTCGGTCGCTAATCTCTCGTCGACCCGGCGCATGGAGCCAGGCGCGTGCGCGCCGGCCTTGCAGACCGGCAGCGGCCGGCACGACACAAATGCACGTTTTGCAATTGCATCTGCATCGCTTCTCGGCCTTTTGGCTAAGATCAAATTGTAGTACAGTACAAATTGCAGTAGTACAAATTGCAGTACAGTAGTAGTTACACCTGTGAATCTGAGCCAAAGGCCGGGAATTTCGGCGCGATATAAACACCTTTTTATCGCGCGACTCGGTGTTGGTATTTTTTTACGCAGTACTACCGCCATCTCTGGACGCTGCGCAGTACTGCCGTGCCCGGGAACGCCGTGGCCACGATCGCCCGCGTGGACGTCGGACGTGCAATGCAAGTGGACACCGAAGACGCCGGACCAGGTGGAAGCCGCCGTGGACGCCGCGCCGCGTGGACGCCGGGGACGCCGCGGGACGCCGGGACGCCGCGGGTGGACGACGGTGGACCACAGGAGCGCGAGGTAAGTTTTTCGCGCGTACTTCCGGTCTTCTGCCTTCGCCTATTTTGATAGGGTTCCCACGTTCCCGTTTCAACATAGGAGTTGGCAGTTGCCGTTGGTTTTGGCGCGAAATTTGAACTTGCGCCCTGTGTGTTTTCGCCGGTCGCCCGCCCGCGCGTCACCGCGTCACTAAGGCCGTCGACTTCGTGGCGCGCATCTGCCAGCGACCTGATGGCGACGTCAGTGTTCCGGTCGGCCGTGGAGGCAGTGCGCGGCCAGCCGGTGCAGCGGGACGAGGAGCTGGTGCTGCCGTACCCGCTGCCCGCGCACGCGAGGTGCCCCATCGCCAGCTGCCGAACGCAGTATAGCGGCACGGGGTCCGTGCAGCAGCGGGCCAGCCTGTGTCGCCACCTCGCCCGCAGCCACGACCTGCGCCCCCGCCGCACCACGTGGGTGTGTGTGGGATGCCGCGCCTGCCTGCCGCGGCGACCGTCGACGCACCACTGCTGGGCGGCGCCCCCGGAGGAGATGCGGCCCGACCTGCCGCATCGCTGTGCCGGCTGCGGCCGATCCTTCACTACCAACATCGGGCTCCGTAATCACCGGGCCCGATGCCACCGGGCCCGATGCCGGGGCGACGGCGGCCGCAGCCGTGCGGGGGATGGCTCCGGGGGCCGCCGCCTGGAAGACACCGAAGACGTCGACGCGCCGCACCGGCCCTCCGCGGCGGACTTCGTGACGCCCCGCCATGCTGCGCGCGCCCGCCGCCGGCGGCTGGCGTCGTCGTCGCCGGACTCGCCGGCGGCGGGGTCGCCTGGCGGGGCGTCCGCACTGCCCACGCCGCCGGTGATGCCGGACGAGTCGCCGGCGGCGGCGGGCCTTGCTGACGACGTCAGCCTTGTCTCGGAGGTCCCCGACGGCCAGCTATCTCGCGGCGCCTCGCCATCTCCATCGCCGCTGACCCAGAGGTCGCCGTACGCCCGCCTCTCGCCGGCCGTGCCGGAGCCGGCGTGGGACCTGGAGCTGTCTCCGCTGACGCCGCCACCACCGCCCGGCCTCCTGCGTTTTGACAGGCCGTGGGAGGACACGCCGCTGGCGGCGCTCGACCCTACACCAGCGCCGAGGTCCTCGCCATCGTCCGCGCGCAGCGCCTCGGTGTCGCCGGCGCCCGCCACCCTGCCGGCCCTGCTCTCGCCAGCTCTGGTCGGTGCGGTGGCTCGCGGTGGAGTGTTGGCCTCGGTGGCCGGAGCGGTGCGTCGCCCGCCGGTAGCCGTGGCCGGAGCGAGTGGGGCCGCGGTGCCGAGCACCGCTGGTGGCAGCGTGCCGCCTGCCCGCGCCGCGTTGCGATGTGCCGCACCGCGCGTAGTGCCGCCCGCGCCGTTGTCGGTAGTGTGTGCGCGGCCGACACCCGCACCGCGGAGCCCTGAGCTGGTGGCCGCGTCACCGGTGCCGACGCCCGCGCCACGGAGCCCGGGGGCTGCGGCGGTGTCGCCCGCGCCGGCCGCGACCGTGAGCCGCCTGCCGACACCTTCGCCGCGGAGCCCCGGACTCCCGACACCGGTCACCACATGTGGACCGCCGGCGCCGATGCCCGCATCGCGGAACCCCGGTGCTGTGGCGGCGTCGCCCGCGCCGGACGCGACAGTGAGCCAGCGGCCGACACCATCGCCGCGGAGCCCCGGGCTCCCGATGCCTACTGTAAGTGCACACTGCCCGGCGCCGGCGCCCGGCCGCCGTCTGCGCTCCTACGCCGAGGCGCTGCGTAGTGCCCCGGCGGGGGATGCGCTGTGGCCGGACGGTACGCCGGTGCGACGTGGTGTTCGCGAACATGATGTGTCTTGTCCGTGCACGGTGACTCCCAACCCCTGCCCGGTGGCTGCGGCTGACGCGCCTTCGTTCGCAGCGGGGGCGCCCTCCCGTTTCGTTGCCCGGCTCGCGTTCCGGCCCGCCCCCCTGCCCCCGCTGCCGTCCAGCCTTCGGGCGCGGCTCGTGCTCCGGCCCGCGTTGCGGCCCCGGCTCGTGCCCCGGCCCGGGCTCCGACCCCGGCGCCTTCCGGTGGCCGGGCTGGGGCTCCGTCCCGTGGCCCGGCTCGCGCCCCGGCCCGCCCCCTGGCCCCCGCTGCCGCCCCGCCTCCGGGCGCGGCTCATGCCCCGGCCCGCGCTGCGGCCCCGGCCCGTGCCCCGGCTCGGGCTCCGGCCCCGGCGCCTCCTCGTGGTCGGGCTGGCGCCCCGTCCTGTGGCCGGGCTCGCACTCCGGCTCGCCCCCTGGCCCCCGCCCCCGCCCCGCCCCCGGCCGCGGCTTCGGCCCGTGCTCCGTCCCGCGCTCCGGCCGCGGCCTGTGCCCCGGTCCGGGCTCTGGCTCGTGTTCCGGCCGCCGCTCTGGCTCCGGTTCCGGTCCCGGCCCCTCGCGGTCGGGTCCGCACCCCGGCCGCTGCTCCGGCCCCGGCTCCGGTCCCGGCCCCTCGTGGTCGGGTCCGCGCCTCCCCGACCCCGGCTCCGGCCGACCGGTCTGCCCGTGGGCGTGGCGGCCCCGGCCGTGGTGGGGGGTCCGGCGGTGCCGGACGTGGCTCTGGCCGCGGCTCGGGTCGTGGGGCCCGGGGTTCTGGCCGTGGCCGCGGTGCCCGGGGTGGGCGTGGTGGTGGCCGGGGACGTGACCCGTCGCCGCCCCCGTCTCCTCCTCCGTCTCCGCCCGTGCCGGGCACGGGCGACACACCCCCGACGGCCCCTCCCTCTCAGCGGCGCCGCTCCCCCCTGCAGGAGGAGTTCCTCGAGGAGCTGGAGGCACTGAGGGACAGTGGCGCTGACTGGCCACTGGTTGAGGCGGCCGTCGGGGCCATGTGTACGCGGGCGGCCGCCCTCAACGAAGAGTTTCACGGCCGGCAGCGCGCCCGCCGTCCGCCGGCCGCTCGGGGCTCTGACTCCGCCTCCCGGGGTGGTGGCTCCGCCTCCCGGGCCGATGGCTCCGCCCCCGCGGCCGGCGGCCCTGCGATACGTGCTGGCGGCCGGGCGGCTCCGGCCGGCGAGCCCACTGACGGCGACGCTGCTCCGGCGGCCGAGGATCACCGGCGCCCGTGGCACGCTCCGCGCCACGAGCCGGAGGAGGCCAGCCGGCTCCAGCGGCTGTACCGTGCGAACCGTGATTGCGCGGTGCGCCGCATCCTCGCTGAGGAGTCGCCCAGGTGCGAGGTGGCGTTCGCCGACCTGGCGGCCCACTTCGCCCCGGACGAGGTGCCGCTCTTCTCGTGGGACGAGCGTCCATCGTGCGTGCCCGACCTGCCGCCGGCGCCAGAGCACCCTCACCTGACGGCTCCCATCACCCACGGTGAGGTGGAGCTCCGTCTGCGCCGGGCTGCCAACACTGCCCCGGGAGATGACGGTCTGCGGTACGCAGCCTGGCGTGCCCTCGACCCCGGCTGCCTGCTGCTACGCGAGGCGTTTGAACTGTGCCGCCGCGCCTGCCGGGTTCCGGAGGCGTGGAAGGCGTCGCAGACCGTCCTGCTCCACGAGGGCGGCGACCCGACCCTGGCGACCAGCTGGCGTCCCATCGCGCTGGCGAGGACGGTCGCCAAGCTCTACGCCGGCGTGTGGGCCGACCGCCTTGCCGCCTGGGCGGACGCTGGCGATGTGCTGTCGGCCCAGCAGAAAGCGTTCAGATCGTTCGACGGCGTGCTCGAGCACAACTTCGTGCTGCAGTGCGCCGTCAACGACGCACGTCGGGCTGGTGAGGAGTGTCACATTGTCTTTGTTGACCTCACCAACGCTTTCGGTTCGGTGCCGCACGCCCTCCTCTGGGAGGCGCTGGAGCGGTTTGGGCTGTCGCCCGAGGCCCTACGAGCCGTGCGTGACCTGTACGAAGGATCGTGCACCCAGTACAGGCTCGCAGCGGGGCTGTCAGACCCCGTGCAGACGCGGTGTGGCGTCCGCCAGGGCTGTCCCCTGAGCGGCTTACTTTTCAACATCGCAATGGAGCCGGTGCTGCGCGCGCTCCGCCAGTCGGACGTGCGCTGCCTGGCCTACGCTGACGATCTGGCGTTGATTGTGCCGTCAGCCGCTGCCGTCGCTCCGGCCCTCCGGGTGCTAGAGGCCGTGTGCGGGTGGTGCTCCCTGGAGCCCAACCCGCGCAAGTCAGGCCTGCTGTCGGTGGGAGCCGCCCCGCCCGCCGTGACTCTCAGCGGCGCGCCTTTGCCGGTGGTGGAACGTGCGTGTTCGTACCGGTACCTGGGCCGTCCGGTGGGCCACACCCGGCTCTCGGAGCCGCCACTGGACGTGCTCGCTGCCACCCGACGCGATGCGTTCCGCCTGCTGGACAGCGCCCTGGCGCCGTGGCAGAAGCTTGACGCCGTGCGCACGTTCATCGTGCCGCGGCTGACGCACTGCCTGCGCCTGGGCGTGCTGCCCAAGACGCCCCTGCGCGCCTTCGACAAGGCGCTGCGGTGGCGCGTCAAGGGTGTGCTGGGCGTGCCGTTGAGCGCCACCAACGGCTACTTGTATGCGCCGTCGTCCACGGGCGGCGTCGGCCTGACTGAGCTGGGCAGCGAGGCCGATGTTCTTCTCCTGGCCGCCAGCGTGCAGCTGCTGCGCTCGCGTGACCCCCTGGTCGCCGAGCTGGCCGCCGCCGAGCTCACGCGCGTCGTGCGGCGCAGGGTCGGCCGGCCTCCGACGCCGGCCGACATGGCCGCCTACTTGAATGGCGAGCGCATGCGCGACGGCGGTGATGTCTCGTCGCGGTTCAGCCGCGCGCGTGTCGCCACCCGGGCACTCGCCTCGTCTGTGCCCGTGGCATGGCACGCCGCCCATCCCGTCCCGGAGCTGCGCGTCGGCCCCACTGCGGTGGAGGCGCGCGGCGAGAGCAAGGCGCTCCGCAACGCCCTGCGGATGCGGGCCTTGAGCGACCTGGTCGCCAAGCCCCATCAGGGACGCGTGATGGAGTGCGTGGCGTCTCAGCCGGTGAGCTCGCATTATATGTATAATGGGAGCTTCACCCGGTTTGCCGAGTGGCGGTTTGTGCACCGTGCTCGGCTCGGTCTCGTGCCCCTGAACGGGTACCGTCGCGGCGCCGGTGATCGGCGCTGTCGGCGCTGTGGCTATGCCAAGGAGACCCTGCCGCACGTGCTCAACCACTGCCGGCCCCACAGCGCGGCACTGCAGCGGAGCCACAACGCCATCCTGGCGCGCCTGGAGAAGGCCGTGCCTCGGTTTGCCGGCACCGACGTGCGGGTGAACCGCCGTGTGCCCGGCACCGAGTCGGCCCTTCGGCCTGACCTGGTGGTCACCCGTGGCGCCCACGTATCTCTTGTGGACGTCACAGTCTCGTTTGAGAACCGGCTGGCTGCCCTGCGCGCCGCCGGCGACGAGAAGGTGGCCAAGTACGCGGGCCTGGTGACCGAGCTCCGACGCCAGGGCAAGCATGCCTCCGTGCATGCCCTGGTGATTGACTCGCTCGGCACCTGGTACCGCGGCAACGAGGAGACGCTGCGCCACCTGCGTGTCAGCCGGGTGTACGCCCGACTGATGCGCAAGCTCATGGTGAGCGACACCCTGCGGTGGTCCCGGGACGTGTACGTGGAGCACGTCACCGGAGTCCGCCAATACGAATGGTCAGTGGCCACCGCCCGTGGCCGCTGTGACGTCAGGGTGCCCGCCTTCACCACCTCCACCTCCACAGCGTTCTCCTCAGCGGCGTCGCTCTCTACCTCGTGACGTCGTGGATTGCCCCCCGCCTGGCCGGCTGCTGTGCCGCCGTGTCGCCGCAGCCACCAATGGGCCGCCGGCCGGCCTGCCGCCCCTCCCCTTGCCCCAGTGTTTTATTTGATCTGTGTGTGTTATCACTGTATCGCGATTCCCCTCCCCCCTCTCCCTTAGTGTTATATGCCCACCGTGTGGGCACCACTGATTTGTATTTGATCCGTGTATTAGTGCAATGAAATGACAATTACCGTGAGATGTCCCCCATTGTTCCCCCTCCCCCGTGTGTTTTGCGTGCGTGGCGTGCTGATTATTATCTGATCTGTTCTTTGTTGTTGTTCATTGGAGTTTTCGGGCGCGTCGACTGCAGTGGTCATTTTGCGCCCATAACTATGCTGTTAATTAGTACGGTGTGAAAATGACTTGAAAATCAATATCTTTTAAAAACGAAAAGAGCTGTTTGGGACCAAGAAATGAGGAACTGTCACCGAGCACATCGTTTATCGTCAGGGTCGAAGCCTGTGAACCAAAGTGACGTCGTCGTTCTTCGAAGAGGCATGGACATGATATAATGACATGATGGACAGTCAGGACGGCTCCACACCGCTGGCATAGGGGTCTGTCGGCTCCATGTAACAGATGGCCATGGGTGGCATAGGTATGCCCAATGCGCAGCCTGCATAAAACCACCTCTTCCCACCGCACACTGCGAGAGCATGACGACCACAAGCCCAACTCTGTCTTTATTGCCCTGAGCTTATTGCCCCCCACCTGGTCCCAACAGCGCTGCAATCTGCTTCTCAGGAAGGTCTTGACTGCAGGGTAAAAATCTCTGGCAGGGATAGGCAAAAACCGGGTATATGGTGCTACCGCTGCTCGCTTAGCAGCGGCATCAGCCAGTTCGTTGCCCACGATACCGACGTGACTAGGGATCCAGCATAGTGCAACTCTCTTTCCAACCCGATTCAATTGTGTCAGGCGTGATAAAATGTCCTGTAAAAGGGGACATGATGGATAAAAAGACTTCAGTGCAGAGAGACTGCTCAGTGAATCTGTAAAAATGGCGTGTGAAGATTCTTCACCCACTTCGATGAAACATATCGCCTTGGAGATTGCAACTAATTCCGCCGTAAAAACTGAC